GGAACCGAACCCGAACGGTTCCATAATTATATTTGGACCCGACGGGTCCATTTATTAAATACCCGAAAGTTTTGGGTCGGTTCGGGTATCTTCAGAACCGAACCGAACCGACCCATGGACAGCCCTATTAGTTAGGGCCAAAGTTAAAAAAAGATAATTGTAGTCTTAGTCCTTAACTTTTCATTATTTTACAAATGATACTTGAACTTTTTATTTGTGTCACCTACAATCTCAAACATTTTAAGGAAACAACTTTTCATCTTCTTCTTCCTCAAATCACCTATTCAAGCCAAATCATGTCATATTTCATTCTCCAAAGTCCAATTATAAGAATATGGAAATATAATGTTAGAACTCTTTAAATAATGCAAATTATATTTTTAATTAAGTTTTTTTATATGAATAAAAAAGTTTAGATCGGTCATTATAATTATTTAATAAGTAAAAATAGTTTGTTTTATTTTTTTACTAGTTGTCACATATTGTTTGGTCCATATTTATAACAATCTATATTGTGGCTGATATGCTTGAAGTGAAATCCTTAAAAGAGAGACATATTTGAATATCTCACATTTGTTATCCACTTATCCAGCATTTTGCGTTGAAGAGGTTTAGAGCTTGTTTAAGCCGTATTTTTTTTTTTGCACAAAATGCATTTTAAAATAGTATTTTGTATGTGGTTAAAAAATAATAATTTTTTTTGAGTTTACGTATAATATTATTTTATTGAAAAATTTGTAGTTGAAAATAAGAGAGATAAAAATGTATTTTAGAAACAATGAGGACTAAACAACGACTTAGAAAGAATCAGTTTTCATTGAACTGGTTCATTTTCAACTCATATATTGTCAACAATATTGTTATCCAACATTATACAAATAACTTAATCCTTACATGAAGTATGAATGATCTAAACTACTATTTAAAAGATCATACATTTACAGAGTCAATGTACTCCCTCCGTCTCATAAAATATGCTTACTTTCTTTTTTCAAATGTCCCAAATTATAGGCCAATTTTCTTATTGAGAGTATATTTGATTTTTAAATTTTTTAATATATCCATATTTAATGTGCCTTATTATCAACAAATATGAATTATTCATATTTTAATAATTATTTAATGCAGGGAGATATTAGGAAAAATAAAATAAAATTTTATATTTCCAACTATACAATTATATTTTTTTAATCCTTGTGAAAATGAAAACAAGCTCATTTTTATGGACGAAGAGAGTATCTTATATTGTGGAGACCCCTAATTACAACCTTAGATAAAGGTAACCTCTATCTCTCAAGCCTTAGTCAACCTTTAAAAAATGGTTGTGCTACATGTACATAACTCACATAATAATTTACTAACAGATGATGTGACAAGATTTAATTATATCAAAATCTCATCCAAAAAACTTCCTCATTTACATTTTGACACATTATCGTATGTAAAACATTATGTTAATAATTATGTACAACAAGCATTTTTCTTCAAAAAAAGAAAAAAAGAAAAATAGATACTTGTCAGCCAATCCGATAAACTGTCACCTTCACAAAATCCTTTTTGGTTCATAAATTACGTTGTTTTTTTTAGGAAATTACACAAAACCCTACTTTTCAAAACTTAAATTCTAAAATCAGATATAAGATTTATTTTTTCAAAAATCAGATATTTTATATATAGATACAAGTTTTTTATATTTAATTAAATATTAATAATAATATTATAAAAATTAATTTATATACACCCCACTCCCACCTACCCCACCTTAAATCACTAAATTCTCAGCATAATTTCTCTGTTTCTAGTTCTCTCTCTCTCTCTCTCTCTCTCTCTCTCTCTCTCTCTCTCTCTCTCTCTCAACGAATAGCTTCTCTCTTCTCTCCGTCTTCACGTCGACGACGTCGCGGGCTGCGGTGATGTTGCAGATCTCTGATCCGAATCTCTAATAGCGCCGCTTCATTACCATCAAAAGAGAATCTCCGGGGCAGATCTGAAGAAGATTTATACAAATTTGAAGAAGCAGAAATCTCGTCGTTACTCATAACTTTGGTGTACTGTTAGAATCGATTTATCTCTTCGTTATTCATAAATTTGGTATACTGTGAAAAATATCGGTGAAGAAGTGACTGGGTCTAACTTTGGTCTCCCTTTTCTTTCTCTCTATCTCTATCCTATTCTCCCCTCTTTCCCCTTCCTCTACAAGTCTTGTTCTTGTTTGATTGTGTTCTTCGTCGCGAAATTATCTCCTGATCTATTGAGTATATGAAACTTAGTAATAAAAAATTCAAAATTAAAAATTTTCAGAGGCTAGACTGTATCCAAGGTGTGATCCATCTATACTTTTTTAATGCTTTTCACGTGCCACGTTCCTTTAGGGAAAACTGTGAATGCACTGGACATAATTACTTGGTGTATGAACACGTACATTTCATTTGTATAATCTCCGACCTTAAAATTCGATAACCAGTGACTAAAAATATAATCTGTGACCAACCATTTCGTTATCTGTGACCTAAAAATTATATAATCTGTGACCGTAAATAAATCTGTAGCCAAATAATTTGGAAATCTGTGTTCGTGTGACCTTCCGTGACTAAAAATATAATCAGTGACCTTAAAATTCGTGTGGCCAGTAACTTGATTTGTGACTTGTGACCTAGGCTGTGACTCTTGACTTATGACTTGTGACCTGAGCTAGGACTTGTGATATGGGCTATGACTCTTGACTTGTGACCTGAGCTGTGACTTGTGACATGGGCTGTGACTTGTAACATGTGACCGTAAAAAAAACATGTTAACCATACAAAAAAATATAGCAGAGCAGTCGCTGGAATCGGAGTAGTCGTCGGAACGGTCGTCGAAAAATTCGCTGGAGTAGGGCGATGATCGGAACGGTCGCCGGAGCGGTAGGGGTGGTGAAGGTGGGATGGGTAAATTATATTATATTATAATTAAATATTTAATAATAAATATTAAATTATTAAATAATAAAGTATTTATTTTTAAATAAAAAAATTAAAAAAAATCTGATTTTGATAACGTTAAACTTGTGTTCTTATTTTTGAAATAAACTAAACTTATACTCTTGAATATGTAATCTTCCTTTTTTCTTTTTCCACAATTTAGAGGTATTGTAACTTTAAATATGACTATAAACAAGGCTGGACAGCTCACTTTGGAAAATGCAAAACAAGAAGCCCATAAGAAAAGTTCTCTTGGAGCGAACACTTCTAGAAGCCCCGTCTTCAAAGGTTGAAATGAAAAAAGAAAATATTTTAAGAATCTTTGAATAGTGTTGTAAATTAAATACTATTTATAAATGATAATTGTATCCTTATGATCCTACGGTTGACTTATGCTTGATTTCATCATT